CTACGTCAATTTCCGTATGAAAAGTCCATTCCGATAACGCCGGTCGGTCGTCTTCGATATAAGCTCGACCTGGTAAAGGTGATGAGGAATTCGAGTCTGCAGATACATAAGCCCCAGAGCCCGAAGGGGAAGAAGGAGGTGTAGAATAGTTTGAGTATGAGACCGACGGTGATGTTGATGAAAGAGATGGTGAAGGTGGCTCATCCGATCCATCATATCTACAAATCGTTCGCGTTATAGGAGGTGTCCTGCGCTTATTTTGTCGATAATTATAATTGTAACTTGGCGGCGATAAATTATCGTCCGGTGTAGACATCTGTCGCCAAAATACATTATCCCGATAATGTCTTGCTTCTTCTTGATTCAAAGAATGACTACGTACAGGAAATCCAGGGTTGTAATGAGTCTTATCACTGCTACTGCGTGTCGCTAGATAGTGCCTCGGCCGCAAGCTCGTGTCGCCGTGTGACCGCGACAAGGGCGTGTTTACACCACGTGAACGTTCGATCGCACCAGCAGATTGCACACGCCCTCTCATTGGTAATTCAAGCTTTTCTGTTTCTCCCAGATTAAAAAGTTCGTCTTCCATGTCAAAGCTGCGAGAAAAACGAAGAGTCCTTAACACACTTATTCGAATTAGGATATAAAATTGAAGTGATTGATGAAACGCTACTCTCACTTTTTAGCTAACCTAAGACGCCTCTTAGTAAAAGTAACTGCAGTTATCGTCTTATTAAGATCATGGATAGCTCATTGTTACGGAAAATTTGTTCCTTCCATGTCGTAAGCTAGGAGACGATGTTACGGAAGCAAAATTTCGTCCTAGAAGGTAAAAACTTTTAATTGGCAACTGATTCCAATTTGTATTCTGCGTGTGGGATGCAAAATGTTTGCCTTCAAGATGTTTCTCGTGATTTGTATCGGTTTCGTTTATAATAAGGCCGCTGGGACATTATTTCCTAGCTAGTTTAGCCTGTACAGAGTTTGTTTTCAGAAGTGTGGTGATAACCACAAGGCACATTAGGGCCAAGTTTTCCTATATATCTCTCACAGAGAGACATAAAATTCCCTTGACAAACAGCTTTCCAAAGGAGGGGGTTTCCATTCTGTTTGTTGCGTTAACCTGTTAAATCAAATTTATATCTATATTAAGTATTTTATTTCCTATTTGTCCACGTACACCATTCACAATGTTTCATTACCTTGTACCATTGGCTCGCAACAGCTTCCTCCTTAAAATGTAGTCAACTATTTCCGGTTCATTGTCAAGGAGTTGAAGAAGAATGTCATGGTGTACTTCCGCAGAAATCTGAAATAGCCAAAGTTGAGATGTGACCATAATGACAAACCATTGCAAAACTTTCGTCTAGTTGCGAACGATCGTGGCGAAGTTTAATGTTTGAATTGTTTATATCCAATGCAGGGGTTTTGTTGGGAGAACATTGGAGTCGAAAATATTCAAAGCGTACGAGATTTTGCCCAACCATATGCTCCCTTCTATACTCCACTGGATTTTTTTTTTAATCGGAACGTCCAGTTAGGTCTCCCTGACCCGCCTTGCAGATTTACTTGCTGGTTATTAATTATTAGGATCATATTCCTGATATATTAAACGGTCTCGTAAATATAATAACATAGCTCGTACCTCGAACAGCTTGTCGTGATTTTCAATCATATCTTGAACAACGTCGATGATTTCTTTTCTTTCGTCAGCGCGAGCCTTGTCTTCTACTAAAAAGTCATGATGTTGGCCTTTCACCTAATTCAAACGAAATGAAAAAAAAATATAAAAATTATAATAGTAAAGAAATAAAATAATGAATAAAATAAGCAAGTTCTGGATACGGTGGAATCTCACCAATACGGATCCTATGAGCAACATAGAAAGTATTTACGGGGTAACCGTATTGGAGTCGGTAGTACTAGTTGGGTGTCGGAAATGCGGGGTCTGTTAACGAGAGGACGAAATCTTACATGGCCGAAAAAAACTACCATAGAATAAAATCACCGAAATTCATGACTATTTCTTGCTTGCTTCTAAAAGACCGTTATTGGTGGATATGAGGTGACTATGACCTTACGCCTTGTTGCATCTCTTTTCTCATATCCAGTTTCACTCGCACAAAATGGGATCCCCCAAACAGCTGAAAATGAAGCCTTATCCATTGCGCGCTCGTGAAATTATTGTCAAAAACAGATATGATCAAATCTTACCTTGTGTAAGATATTTGGGCCAATAATAATTGCTAAGTTCTTGGAATTCATCTTGTTTCCTGGAATCTAAACAGACAAAAAAACATCACCGTAAGGCCGCAGTTTCTAGAGCCTGGGTTCGAGTCTCTTTCCCGGGCCCTCGGGTCGGCCCCTGGGGTTTTAAAATGGCAGCTTTGGGAATCGCTCCACGTTGGCATAAACTTAAAGTGGCATGAAGAAGCTTTACAAGAGATTTTAGGGGAGCAGGACACTTTTAGAAAGTAATGTCGAGGTATGTGTCTTATTTATTCTGAACCGGCTTCATCAATTAATTCTTCAAACATCTTCATAATCAGCTTTAAAATCTTCCCATTTTTGCTGGCCAACATTTCTTTGGCGGACCAGAGGCCAGTAATAACTCCTACACGTACACACGACAAAATACAAAGAGAACAAAAGATGAAAAATTTACAGGAAACAAATGTTAAATCAACAAAGAACAACTTGCACGGTTTGCCAAAACAGCTGTTTATTTATTTCCGGCAGTGCCAATCCCCTTTCTTAAAATAAATAAATTAAATAAATAAATAAATGAATAACTTGTGTTACAAGAAATCTTTACTACGAAAAACAAAACGAACATACTTCAACTCCATTTTCACCGATTCTGTCTTCTGACCACTGTGCAACTTCAGCAAGAAATTCTAGAAGGACTTTCAACGTGTCCCTGTTTGGAATTGGCAGTAAACAGCATAGGAGACGAAGGGCTGTTATCTGCGTGCTTTGATCTTCAAAACCTAAAAGTAGAAATCAAACCTGTGAGATTCTTTGCTAAACGCTATGTTGAATATAGTTGTTGCTGATCCTTTCAATAGAGAGCTTAAGCAACCACTACAACGAAAGTAACAACATCCAAAAACAATATTGGCTTTATGAACTTGAGAAAACAACAGCTCTGGATGAGCATCATGCTATTTAGTTCATTTCTTTGATGTCCACTACATGACTTTGATGTGAAACCTCCTAATGTGACATTTTATGGAGAATATGAATGTACCAGGACAAATTTTCCTTTCTCCTTTCAAACCTGAATAAAAGTCCTTCAGAATTCAACTCCGGGAAAAATGGCCTACATTTGACATATAGAGCAGGTTTCAATAGACACAATAACATTTGAAAGGATGCAAATTAATTTTTAGCAATGTTTTTACTGCTGTCGACATTGTCGTTGTTTAAGCTCATCTAGAGACTAACAAAAATGAATTAAGTTCAGTACCTGCTGTTAAAATCATCTGTTTAACAAACAGAAAATGAATGTTATAGCCTTTTCATAGTGATTGAAAAATGTGAGAAAGGACTTTCAAAAATGATCAGAAAGTTGAGGGGATGTTTTTTGCCCATTTTTTAAAATCAACATATTACATTTAATTTTTCCACCCGTCACAAAAAGGTAATGCTCTGGATAACTCTTAAATTCAAAACAATTTTTTAAGTATAATTTTTTTTCCAGGACCCTGGAAAACTTTTTGAAAATCCCACTTTTTCTAGCTACTCCTTGTACGGGGGGGAATGTTAGTAATGTAAAATGCTATGTTGAGTTTTTTCCTTGCAATAATGCTATGAAAATATTTGTCTGTATGGCTTACTTTGGGTTTCTAAGAAGGCAGAATACAGGTCACGGGTTAGAAGAGGTTCTGGAAGGTCTCGGAAATATTCCTTGAATAATGCGGCCACATCATGTGGGTTGTCATCTTCTGCTGTAAATCTTGTCTTCTCTCCTAAATCAAACTGATCTCTCATCTGCAACAAGAACCAATCAATTTCCTTTTTCAGATGTGCACGTAACACTCCTGAGCAGAGCTAAGGACTTACAGAGCCTCAGCAGTTAATTGAGAAGGTACTTTGCTTTAAGAACATGCAAGTATCTAATTTTCTACACCAATGTGTAGTCAAAACAAATAGTCAAATTGAAAGAAAAATGTGAGTACATACTTGCTTCATTCGCTTCTTTGAGCCTCCAACTCTAAATATTCCTAGAACATGAAGACCTGAGAATAACATACATACATCAATTAAATTTCATTTACTAATGGACTATGTCAGTTTTAAGTAAAGAAATGCTTGACTTGTAGAAAAGGGTGGGGGTGGGGAGGTTTGTTGTTGTTGTCTTTAAAGGATCTTGTAGTGGTTGTAAGGAAGTGTCCACCATTTTTTATTTAGCAAACAAAAACAAGCACAATAATTAAAAACTCCTCTGTGGAGGTTGCCGGGCAGTAAACATCTTGAACTATAAATCTGCAGGTACAGGTTCAAATGTTGCTATCATGTTGTTTGCTTAGACAAGAAAGTCTGTTTCTCTTAACTTTGTCTCTTTTCATCAAAATGTATAACAGGGTTCTCGTGATATACTGCCTGGGGTGGCCTTGCAATTAACTAGCATCTCATCCAGAGCGATTAGCAATGCTCCTTGGTGCTTCATGTTACAGAAACTGGCTCCCACTGACAACTGTGCTTCATCTATTTTGTCAGCAGCTTAACATTTAATCTACATGTACCTATACAAAAAATGTACCATTTACAATACTTTTTAAGGACCCTACCATGCAACTGGAGATGTTCCACAGCTTGTAAGACAATTGGAGGAACTTGTGGTGTTGGGGGACTGAGTGCAGACTGCTTGTCCATCAGACATGATGCCGAGGCAGAAGAGGACAGAAGTGTCAGGGCATCAATAAGCCGTGATTTCCAACTAGATGATTCTGTAGGTTGGTCTTTACCTGATAAAGACTTGTAGTCACTATTTTGATTCGAATTCTCATTAGACGATCTGGAACTTTGTGAGAGACTTGACCCTGATGAATGTCGTCTTACTTTTGGTGATTCTTCAGGTACTTCTTGATTGCCAGTGGAGTTTGTTGAGGAAATTGATGGTGTACTTTCTTTAACATTCCTCTGTCCTTTTTTCAACTCAGAAGTATCCATAACACCCTGAGATGTTACTGCTTTGTGAAGAGGTATTGCAAAGACACCATTTTCTGTAATCCAATTTAGAAATCATAATAATCTCTTGCTATCTAATGTTCATGTACCTTCAATTCTATTCATTATTTTTGGCTGTAATTCCTAATTACTGTCAGAGCTGAGCTTCTTTGAAATTAAAGTTTATGGAACTGATAATGTAAAAATATATTTTAAGCACCTTTTCAAAATCATGAGCAATAATTATCTTTGAGCTATGTCTGTTTCAGTCTTAGAGACCCCTGCCTGTGATGAATGTGATATGTTTATCAATGTGTTTATGAAACCATTATTGTTTTAATTAACACTTTCAAACTATCTACAACAAAATACAAAATTTTTTATATGCTAAAATTTACTTAAACCAACCTTTACCTTTATCAAAAAGGCCAGACCCAGAAGTTTTTGTTTTCCAGGAAAGGGCTCTCTTGAGGGATTTTCTTGGAGACCTTGGGTCTTAATGAAGAAAGAACAAATAATTGATTAATTAGATATGTCTGTAACGTTGATACACATTGAACCATTTATTGAGACATGCTAAATTTATGAACTTTTAACTGTTGAACCTGCAGACAAAATACTGTGTTTGTACAATTCAAAAAGAACCTGGCTTGCTGTACTTTCATGGGGTTCTATTGATTTTTCAACATTTTGCCACCTTTTTGTAGAGTTTTGGTATTACAGTTGTTATTTCTGGTATTGGGTAGATTCTAGATAGACCAGTAGACTGTGTACGTCTGTGAAAACAGCTTTGAACAGGAGATAATTACTGTGTTACAAATCCCTCTAGTGGTCAGAAAGGAAGACTCCCCATGGATTATCTAAGCATAATAATATTATCTGAGTGCAACATGTTTCCTGCCTCCTGCTTTACAAGGTATTGTATCAACTGGAGGGCCTTAAACCCTAAAGTTAAACCTGTTACGATTAACAGAACATTTCTCCTAGAAAATGGCAATGCATGAGCAATAGGTAAGGTCACAAGAAATCGAAAATGTGATCACTAAGTTCAATCCTGTATGAACCTAACTCTGCATGGTAAAAAATGTATCAAATCCAACTGTAATTGAAATAACTCTCAGAATAATCAAAATAATCATACAACAGAAAAGACCAACAAATGCCTGTGAATTAACACATTTTCTCTTAAAACAGGACAGCTGCTGCTTTTACTGCCAAAAATACATAAAGTTGAGTTACTGGGACTGTTTAATCCATTTAAACTTTCTATCTGGTTCTTTAATCATTGTAAATCACTTAATCTAGCAATAAATCTTGTTATTTTGTGTTAAGTCTTCCTGTATTAACTAAAAGCTGCAACAATATTCATGTTTATGTCAAAGAAAGGTTTAGGCCATCCTGTTTGAAAGATTCGGGTTTAAACAACATTGCACTTGAGTATTACTATTTCTAATCAATTGATGATTGCAAGAAGGTTTCTTTTATGAGAAATAATATTATCTGTTAATATTATAGACTCTTTGCTCCTCCAAATGGCTGGATTTGGAAGAATCACTTGAAATTGTTTTATTAACAAAATGTTTGCTTGTATATGAAATACTGTGTATTCTGAAAAACCCTTATATGATGTAATAGCTGTAAAGATTTTATCTCTGTGAAGATTATCCAGGTTTTATGTTTTTCCTTCATTCAAAGTAAAACAAACTGATAAGGAAATATCAAATAACTCCCAATCAGCTCTTAAGGGTCGTGTTAGACATGGGTCATGCAAGCCCAAGGGGGTCCATGCATGCTTTGCACTTTCCTTGGAGGGAATGTTTTTTAAAACAGCCAGAGTTACACACTACTGGTATTACAAAGTGGCGCATTATTAGGGCTGTAACTATACTTTCTGAAAAGATGAGGCAAGTGTTGTAGGTACCAACGGCACAAACAGCTCATTTAGTGTAAATTTGAGCAGTGCTCCTAACATCGAAATATATAAAGACAACCCAAGCTGTTGCCATTCATTTAGACAAAAGGTTATTAACCATTGATCTATTTGCAGTAGTAATTCTGCCATAGGCAAGCACACCAAGTCTAACTATAAAATAAGTTTCAAACCTTCAACGCATGCAAAAATGCGAGACCATAGTACGCTAGTTCAATTCTAAATCATATTTTTTAGCACAGTCAAACCCCGTCACTGAGGGGCCATAGAAAGCGTACACGACCTGTATTAACAGGGTGTCAATGTTAAGCAAGTTGAATTTTGAGAAAATATAAGGGATTTCTTTCCCCAGGGACAAAGCAAACTTTACATAGTAATGAGGTGTCTGTATTAAGTGGGTGTCCATAAAGCAAGGTTTGACTGACAATGTATCTTTACTTCGATGCAATAATTCATAAGCAAAGGGAATGTAATAATGGTAGTAAAGTTGCAGTTGCCTAATATAATAACTTATTGTAGAATGTTCTAAATTTAAGACAGCCATAAACCTAGCCTGCATTGCTGGCAGATTTGAATTTTACACAGTGATCTAGAGAACTTGATATAGTGCATCTGCATAAGGTCTACCAAAAGCTTGTTCTGATATTCTGCAGGTTTGCAGGGATATTTAACAATTATTCCTCGAGCCCGAATGGGCTATTGACTCAGAGGCCATGAGGGCGAGAGGAATATTGTTTTAGTAAAATCCAACTAGCTGGTCAAAAATATCGAGACAAAACAACTTTAGCTGGTTAAAGCTAGACTTTAATCCTTTTTTTGCCGCCAAAAGCTTGTGCTTTCGCAGCTCAACCAATCAGAACGCAGCATTGATAATAGACCACTAGTTGGGTCTGTTTCTGTTTGACTAAATGTCTTACACAATTGGTGATTGGATGTTTCCAACAGCAACAATCATCCAATACTCCACAATGTATTTTTGTATTTTCCTTGGTTTTCTCTAGCTATTGACGAGGACCACTGTTTTGGCAGATGTACACTACTTTTTTTCAATTGATCTCAAAAGTAAATTCAGGCTTTCTCAGGCTCTAGCCAATCAAAAAGGTATATATATATATATATCAGAACAAGCTTCTGCAAGCCATTATGCAGGCTGTCTATATCAGGGATTTAATTTGACTGTGACACAGGCTACCCAGAAACCTTCTAACATTTTTGCCAACATGGAAAACAAAAACTGGGGTTTTGAAAAGCTTGTTGTGGATAAATAAATACCTAAAGCTGGACTTATAAGTGCTTTTGACAAGTTACACCATTGCTATGGTTACCTATTTTGGAAAGAAAATGTTGTCGTTAAATTAAAACTTGTTCACCAGTAAACAGCAGATGTTTGATGTCATTATAGTAGCATTAAACATCATTAGTGATGGTGTTTTAGTTCTTCACTGATTATGTCCTTCAGACTATTGAAGGCTCTTTTGTTGCTTAAACTTTGCACAGAGTACCAATGAACATTGTACAGAATTGTGAACACTATGTTGACAAGAAAGGCCCGACAACAAAATAATAGGACAACAAAATAATAGAACAAATAATAAACCAGCACTGGGACAAGCATTGTTTACTGCATCTAAATTAATAATTACTGGTTCTAACACAAAAAGGAAGGAATTAACAAAAACAAAATGAATTTCCATAGAAGTCTATTTTGGGAGATGAAAGAGATATCTTTAGAAATTAAATGCGTCAGTGTCAAAATTCAAATGAAGTAGATTCATACTTTTGGTCTGAAGGGTGTTTGTTTTTGATTTTTCTTTATAATTTTTAACCTGTACCCTCGACACTTGACAAGGTATTGAACTAAGAAAAAGTTAAAACAGCCATTTGTTTGTATCAAAGCCAAAGTCACCCCGACAACAAAAATAATAGAACAAATAATAAACCAGCACTGGGACATACAGGCTATAAATATAAATTCTAGCCGATCTGACAACAAATATATTGTGAACACAGGGGACTGCTTAAGATAATCGTGCATTTACATGTGAACAAAGGTTTGCATTATTTAGTATTTCATCCGATATTTCAACAAGGTAAACTTCTTTTTTCAAAAGGCAATTTTGAGGAAGCGTGGTCTGAATCGAAAACAGAACCATGATACCTTGCTGTTCAGGAGGAAGAATTCGACTTTTAAAACTTGGCACATCAACTAGTTTTCGTTCGTACTGCCAGACAAGGGTTATTATCAATCAGCCCAGTAATCTCATTAGATTTTTTAAAGAACAAGCATTATTTATATTTTGATAAATAGTACACAGTTTAAAATATTGCAAACTGCAGAAATGAATTTTCAACCTCAAAAATTTGTGAACGTGTTGAAGAAGTGTTGTTTGACATAATTACCTTCTTTTCACTTTACGTGATCAAGTCTCTTAATTAAAATGACATGTCAAAAGCTTGCAAACGCACAAAACGGCGATATTTTTCACACCTCATCTCGCGCCGAAAATTATAAAACGATCTCTGTAAATTTATATTTGCATTGTTAACAAGTGCCGTGAAGTTTGAACAAGTGTAACTAATAATGGCGTTTGCCTCCACTTTTTAAAAAAAGTCTCAATTTTGATGGGCTTCTTATCAAACAAAATGGCAGCCTCTTGACCGTCAAGGCAGTAGATAAGTTTGTTATTGTCTTGATTGAGTCCAAATGCATGAGTCTTCCTTTTCTCTTTGGGTTGAGAACCACAATCGAACTTGTTGTAAGTGAATTGGCTTTTACTATTTCATTAAACTTTTATTGAGACTGTTGTCATTAGAATGATTATTGCACCATACGTACCTTTAGGTATTGTTACATGACTCTTGAAATCCATTTGCTTTAACCTGGTTTGTGCAACTCTTTGAAGAGCGATGCATTCTGGCTCTGACAGTGCGGACAGTGGAATGCTCGTTAGCTGGACTTTTCTTCCTTCCACTGAGCTCCAACTAAAATCATCCTGCAAAGCCACAAAAAGCTCGTTAAGGCGGCAAATTTACCGAAGCCTAATTCTCATCACGGTTAATTGAAAACGCAAACTGCTCAGAGGATCAGATGGGTTTTGCCGGGCCTAAACGTTAAATAAATCCTTTTAAATAGCATTCAAGTAGGGAAATGGAAGGAGCTGCTTAGTTATATAGGAGAGTGAAAGGATGTGCGTGGTAGAAAGTTAGTGGTTTGCATTCTCAGTTTAGCAGGGTTAGTGATAGTTTATGTCGAAAGCTACCGTAAAAGTTACAAATAAAAACTTTATTTAAACTCTAACAGCGCAAACTTAATAATATTTAGTATTCTTTTCAGCTTTCATCGTTTCACTACCGTGGAGGTTTTCATCCACAGAGTTCAACATTCGAAACTCATTTTTACGAGATCCGACTTCAAAGATTTTCTTTAAAACGATCCCATTCGTTGCCAAAATCTTGTATGCGTTCGTTCAACGCTTCCCCGTTTGTGGCCGCACAAAAGTTGACTTGAAGCGATAGGAAACTCTCTTTATAAAATTCAAAGTGCCGTGACGACACTTAATACTTTAGCAAGGTCAGGCATGAGTGGAATGAACTTTGAATTTGTAGATACAGCAGATTGTCGATAGAGAAAGCTGCCCGTAAGTTCTGTCTTGTACAAATTTCGCGATGTTTAAGCCACTCGCTGTGCTTGCAGGGTCCCATCGGCAATGCACTTAATGAATTTTGACTGAACGTATTAGCGAAGTAACGCGACGGTGAACAGTCAAAGCTACAACTATAACGCGCGCCACCGCCGGATTATGTTCTCTATGTACCTGAGGAATCCATAAGGCATTTCCAGCATTAGATACAACTTTAAGCCGGTTCCTCCAGGTCTTGTTAAAGAACTTTTCCTTGTGTGAGCCTGATGGTGACAGCTTTTCCTGCATCCCTGGATCAGAATGGGGAGTAAGATCGTTCAGTACAGACGAGCCTTTGGCTGCATTCCTGCTAGACGACCTACCCGTCTCACTTCGCCCCTCCATATCCCCTGTACTTGCACCCCCCTTAAACACCGTGCCTATGTTAGCAATGGCTCCCGACGCCAGCTTTTGCAATCCCTTCTTTTTAGCTGCCGATGTCGTGGACCCCTCGTTCTCAGCCTTCGGGGACATTTCGCCGGCTCTTTCGACAGCCACTTTCTGCGGGCTCAGAATGACAACGTTCGCATTTTGCTCGATTGCGCTTAGCTCAACCTTCCTCGCAAGGGCCAACCTTTCACTTGTGTTGCGGTATTTACGTTCTCCTCTTGTGAATGATGAATCGTTCATGGCTGTCGGAGATTGGGTTACACTCAGACTGCAATATGGCGAAACCCTCTCTACCGATTCTGTGTCCGTCGCGGTCTCGTAAGCGTTTAGGACCATGAATGACTCAACGGGAAAATGTTAAGCTGCTTCAAGTAGCATCACGCTCGGACCACAAACCCGAACAATCCAGAGCAGTTTGGAAGTTAAAATGTCCTTCATAATTTGCTCGTTGTTCACATTTTACTAATGGAATTGAGTTTTGTGTGTAGCTGTGAGCGACTTGCTAATCATCCATTGATTGACGCGAGGGCAGATCTTATTAATTGAAATCAATAATTACCCACCGTCCATTGGCCAAAAGACAATAGAGAATGACGTAACGCACGAAAAGCCTCTTCTATTGTACTTTGCCGCGCATAAACATACAAACGTCGCTTTTAACTATTTATGACAAGCAAGAAAACCTCAACCACACAAGCTTTGATTTAAGTGGCTCATTGAATACACAGAAGGTAAAATGCAGTGTAAATATGCCAAATAAATACAACCCGTCTTTGTACATGTACACGATTGATTGGTTCGGTAGGTATCGTTCTGTCTCGCCACTTACAGCCCTTTTTCCAATGAGGTACGGGCGCTCTCGTTTTTCCCAGACACAGCAATTCTGTGCCAACTAATTGGCAAAAATAACTGACATGTGGCACTTTTTCATTGAAAAACATAAGAATTGCAATAGTTGTAGGGTCTTTTTCATCACTTTTGCCAAGCGTGTTGTTCACATACCCTCAGGGAATATAATCGTGGGCTCGCGCGATCGTCAAAGTGAACTAAAGCTGACGTAGAAACGATACAAGTGAACCGTAACGAGTTATTAAACTAGCCATTCCGCTCGCGACCTGTTTTGCTACGACATCCGGAGGATATTACAAGTGGGTCGTACGCAGGTTTAATTTCCCGTCGTAATTTTTTTCTCATCTTAATTGTCATCTTTACAAAGTTTGAGTGGCGCATTGAAGTTACTTGGGATTTGTTCCATTGATAGACTAATTTACGACGTAGAAGCCACGAGCCTAACAAAACTTGACACATGTATAATTGATACACCTGTAGAAATTGCACAACCGTTCGTATGTACACTGAATATGCGACAGCTCGTAAAGAATGTCGAAGACATAATTCCGACATAACTTCAAAGCGACGTTTTACTCTTAAAAAAATCCACATTTTCTTTTCGTTTGTCGACTTGTTCGAAGAACTCGTTAGAGCGATATGCGACAACCTTTTCCGCACTGCCTTAATGTACTGAAATCTTCTTGCGTACAGCTGAGGCTTTTTGAGACCATTTTTATCTTAAACAAACAAGGTTATTTTACCGGATTATGCAAAGTTTGTTTTGACACTTATTTCACTGACGTAGTGTGCGCTCGAAACTCCGCCATGCGTTTCATACTTTTATCAAAAGTTCCCTACTTAGTGATATGTTTGTTTTAACAGTAAAAATTCGACCTCAAAATTTTCATTGTACTTTATGTTATGCAGTTTATGAAAATACAGTCGTGGAAAACGCCAGATTCTTCTGTTAACTTCTAACCGACGATTTACACTAGGTTACAGTCGTCAGCAAATGAACTTAAAACTGATTGTAAGACATCATGAAACACAAAACAAAATGGTAGTGTTGCTCTTGAGGTTTTTTGGCAAAATCAAAAGCTAGAACATACGCTCAAGAACCACTGTGACAATTCGTCATAGGGGACTCGGTCTCACTCCCCCCCCGGAGCAGACGATCACAATTTAGAGCCATTTTGGAGCTTCATGAAAAATGTCAGCAATATTCTGCCAGATACATTTAGCTTTTCGTTTGAATGCGGTCACCTTGCGAGATTAAAAGGCTACTAACAAAACAGACTAAGCGGCATTTCATCCGGGGGGTAATAGTGAAAATAAAGAATCCGCCAAATTCAGACCTGATATTAGCAGTTCTATTGCGTATTCTTTTGTAATAGATTTTGTGTAGACCCGGTTATCTTTGTTTTCGTCCCGTCTGTATCATTTCCTTTTCCTGCCGTCAGAATGTCACGTCTTGCACGCAAATTAACGCATCATGAAAAATTGGAATTTCTCTTGAGTCGAAGTTTGTTTGCTTAACATTGTTAAAACATGTGTCGGTCACTGCTGACCAGAAATGTTGATAAAGCTATAGTGGCCTCTGTTTTAAATTGTTTCGTTTCGTTATTGGTGCAATTTTTATACGAGAAACCACTTGATAGAATGAGGAGTTGTAAAATTGTTACAAACATGGCTGGTCTACGGTAATCTGAGTTTTGTCGTGTTGATGGAATGCCTATGTCCAAAGTTTTGTTCGTGACCGAGAATTAGGCGACACGTCTATCATCCGAGCTGTACGACTTCAGACATCGCCTGTTAATTCGATCCTTTCAGCGGTTTTCGGGTGGCTTAGTGTGGAGTTTCATATATAAGATTTTTCTTCGTGAGCAACTTATCCACATGTCAATACGGTAACTCTATCCATTTTCTCAAAAGAAGGTCTTAAAGATTGGCTCTAGACCAAGTTTTTTTTTCAAAAGACACGCGAGCAATGCTCGCCCTTAAGAATAACGTTTTTCTCGTTTTATCTTGCTTAATCTTTTACGGAACAAAGGTTTGTAACGTTGAACTTTGAAATTTAGCGACGAAGCTCATGAAACCCAGGAAAGCGAACATAAAACTCGTGAATAAAGCGGATTAGTAATGTACTTTCAATTTAAGACCTATTGTGTCTTAATACAAGAGAACAAAATTGAGTCGCTTATCATCTACAATGCTTGGATTCGCCAAATCACATCGATTGACGGGTGATACCGACAATTCTACGTGTTCTTTTTAGAAAGCGTTCGGCCTCGAGTAGGGTTGGGTTTCCTTAAAACAGAAGACCACCCCGGACACCTGTGAAAGGCTGCCATGGCCGATATACCCAACCAGTGCTAGTTAATTAACACACCGACACCGACTACTGAGTCCCGAATTTGCGCTCTCTTCATCGCGAATAAAACCATGATAAGCGATATTGAAAGATACCTTCATAGTACTGGCTGTATGATCTGGGATGTCCTCTCCTGTTTTGGCTGGTAACAAACGGATCGAAAGAGTCGACTTCAGGCATCATTTCACGTCGCACCTGAGGCGAGAAAGAGATATCAACAACCTAGTCACAAGTGAAGTCTGGTAGCAGGGTAATAAACTCAACCTTGATATGCTGTATTAACTCACACACAATGCCCTTTAGAAAATGATTGGCAGGTTCGTATCACTCACTACATAATTTGCCTCGTTACTGCGGTTCAATTAACTCCATTTCAAGGCCTCCCACGATCGAAAACTTCGGTCATGTGAAGCAAGCATTGACTGCGGTCCAAATGCTTTCGGTGTCGATGCTAACTTTTACGTATGTGCATTTCAATCCGAATGCGTAACCAAAGTCAAATTTAAAGAAAGTTGTTCGGTTGCATGCTGTGCTATTATATTATTTGTATGACTATCGGTCTTTAACAGTTGGAATACTGACGATCGATGAAGTCACTTTAAAACTAGGACAGAAACGGACTTAGGACTTTAGGAAAATTGTTGAAATCTACTGTCGCGACAGTATTAAGTCACTATACCGAACGAACATAAAGTAAGTTCACTAAGCTAAAATGGCGTTTTTAAAACGAAAAAATAAAACAGTCATTAACCCGGATTTAGTCAAAAACTTTACAGCACTAAAAATACACGACAAACTTTCCATACCATGATCAGATGAAGTTCGAAGTTCGGCGCGGCAGTTTTTCCTGTTCGTTCCCGGCGTGTTTAGCTGTTTTTAAAGTGTTCTCGTCTCCACTAGCCCACCAGCTATTGTTGTTAGCTTTTTAATCCTCTTGAAATTAGAAACATGAGGTCTTCACCCTGACCTCCAAATTTTGTGTTATTTTTGGTGGCTTCAGTTCTTTTTTTTAGCGCTTCTTATTGTTTTCTTGCTTCTTAAAAGAGGCAAATTCAAAACCCGCGATTCGGATGTGGCGGCAATAATCTACTCGTTTGCCATGAATTCCTCGTTGTAAGCTCTGTCACTAAGATTTTCTTGATCTTTTTACGTTCTTTCCGGTGTCATTGTTCTTGTTGAATGGCGAAGTCCAAACATCCAAACACCAGAGACTTAGTATTGATATATTGCAACATGTTTGTATTGTTTGTGGACATTTCTACGTTCTTGTCATCACGTTTAAGGGAAAACTACAAGACTGTTGTTGATGTTCACATCTCCTCTCTCCAAATGTATTTTGGTCCTGTAATCTGTTCAGTTCAAAGTACTTAGTGCAGTATTGAATTTGCTAACTATTTTTTTGCCGAGATTTGTCTATATAAATGTTTATACAAATATTAATCGCTTGTGGTAATCACGCTATGTTCTGTTACAATAAGACCGTGACCGCTCCATTCCTGGGTATTTTATTTGCGAAATGTGACTTTACTACAATTAGCCTTTGAAATATTTCGAAGTGAAACAATAGTGTGAATAAGTTCATTTTCATACGGAACAACTAAGTCGCTCAATATCTCAATTTGTGCCCTCAACTTCGATGTGTTTATACGAAATTCCGGCAGTTCACTTTTGTTCCGTGAGTAAATTAATGGATTTTATGGGTCGAGATTTTCTAATATAAAATCTAGAGGCTTTCCCGTGATCATCACTCATTGAGAATTTGAATTTTTGACGAGTTGTCATAAAACTCTTTTAAAACACTGCTAGGAAACGCTAGTTAATTTACGTTTTAAAACGTTTAAAAAATCATGGACATCAAATTGAGTCTGTAAGCGAAATCTTTCTATAAAACCTCGTCGTTAGCACTTTCACACGAGGCAAGGTGTTTTTCAAAATTTTCAAAATCATGTGAGATTTTTCGATTTTTTTTTTACGTTTTTTAGTTTTTGGGCTTCAGAGAAACAGATAAATTGTTGATGTTGATTGAAACGTGAGGTGAATTTTAAGTATTTTCTATTCGCTTTTCACAATAGTTGATGACTTAACAATATGAATATATTTTTAGAATGATCAGCAACTATCGTTTTAGTCACAAATTGTCAAGCACATAATATTGCATTAATATAGGTCAAGACAATTAATTCAATGGCCATTGAGTTGGACCATATGTTTTTACGGGTTGCTGAACACTTCATCGATCTACTTTTTGATTGTTGATTTCGGTTATTTTTCAACTGTCCGTCCCCGCAGGATATTGGAGAAAAGAGCTATTCTTACGAATTGAAATCAGTTTCCTTACCTGCTTGCGACTATTGGACTGAACTGGCGATGCAAATTTTCGGCCGCTCAACTTCAGTGGAAGACCGTGACAGCCTTTTTGAAGGCCAAACATTAGCCATGAAGTCTTTCACAAGGCTAAAGGAGGTTGAAACGCCAGTGAAGCAGCGTGAACAGTGTTACCACGCCACGTTCATTGATTATTTAACTTATATCCAACCTCCTCCGACTGTCGCCAAACGTTCAGGTGCAACTTGTTGAAATTTAAGCGCTAATCCTTGACA